ACCTCAATAACCTGTGGGATAAAATCTAACACTCATGTACTCAGAGTCCTAGAAAGGAAAGAGACAAAATGGGTAGAAAATATGTTTTGGGAAAATAATTATAAAATGTCCCAAAACGGGTGGAAAACATCAACCTACAAATCCAAGAAGCTCAGCAAACTAAAAACATGATAAATACAAAGAAGACCACATTTAGGCACATCATGATCAAATCAGTGAAAAACAGATAAAAAAAAAATATTGATTGACCGTAGCCAGAGTAAGATGAAACATTACTTACAGGAAAACAAGAAAAAATGGAATTCCAAGAAACGGAACGACATGTTTAAAGCACTGAAATAAAAGTAAAACTGTAACCTAGAACTCTATATTCAGCAAATGATCCTTGAAACTTGAGTGTGAAATGAAGACATTTTCAGCTGAACAAAACCTAAGAGAATTAGTCACTGGCCGACTTACAGGAAGGAATAAAGACAGAAATGATATATGTGTGAGAAAATATAAAAGACTGGTTTTGCTTAGTTTTCTTTTGATTTAATTAAAAGCAAAGGACTGTTAAAACAAAAATTGCATCATTTTAAGGAGGCATTTATAAATAGGTGGATGAAGAAGAACACCAAAATAATTCAAAGGACTAATGAGGGTGTAAATGGGACTGTTATTAAGGTTCTTACATGAAGTATAAAGTAGAATATCAATTTTAAGTAAACTGTCATTAAGGGATGCATATGGTAAGTGCTAGAGCAACTACTTGAAAGTACAAAAAGGCTGTAGATAAAAAGCCAATAGAAAAAAATAAGATGAAATGCCATCAAATATTTCATGAACCCAAAAGGTAGCAGGAAAAAAAAAATGGATCAGAACAAATAGGAAACTAATTGCAAGATGACAGACTTAAATCCTATCATGTCAAAAATTATGTGAAGTGAAAATGAGTAAAACACTCCAATTAAAAAGCACAGATTCTCAAAAATGGATTAAAAAAAAAAAGACTGCCTATAAAAGAGTTTTAAATATATAAATATATATGACAGGACTAGTAGCAGAGATTAAGAGGGACATATCTTAATGAATGCACTAATTCAACACCTAAACATAACAATCTTAAAAGTGTATATGCTTAATAACAAAGCTTCAAAATACATTTAGAAAATACTGACAAAACTAAAGAGATAAGTAGAAAAATCCACAATCATATTTAGAGACTTTAACACCCTTATCTTGGTAATAAATAGAACAAGTAGACCAAAACAAAATAAAACAAAATCAGACCTGAAAAATACAATCAACCAACTTGACCAACTTGATATTTAGAGAACACTACCACTAATACCTGCAATATTATATATAATATATAATGTCAAGTATATGACATTATTTGCAAGTGTACTTGAAGCATACGCTTAAATACACCATAAAATGGCCTATAAATTTCTTTAATGTCAAAAGACAAAAGATTCTTTCAGATTCTCTCAGAGCATAGCATAATTTTAAGTTATAAGTCAATAACAGTAAGATATCTAGAAAAGCATAGAATACTTGGAGGTTAAACATTCTGTTGATTTCTCTCTTTATGTCCGTTAATATTTGATTAATGTATTTAGGTGCTTCAGTGTAAACATTTATTCTAGATAACACTCCAATAACATTCTAAATAACAAGAGAAATCACAAGGGAAATTAGAATTATTTTTAACTGAATGACAATGAAAAAAAAACAAAGCAAAAAGTTGGCTCTTTGAAAGATTAATAAAATTGGCAGACCCCCAGCAAGACTCTTTTCTATCAAAGAAAGAAAGAAAGAAAGAAAGAAAGAAAGAAAGAAAGGGAAAAGAACAACAGGGAAGAAAACAAAATTGACAACACCAGCAGTAAAAAATGAGGTATAACTACAGACCCTATAGACATAGGGATATTATACACTTGATGTCAATAAATTTGGCAACTCACTTTATTTATACAATGGAATACCCCTAAGGAAACTCCTTACACACAGAACAACATGGATAGATCTCACAGCTATTATCTTGGGGATGGAGGGATAAAAAGCACAAAAGAGTGTATACTGTAGAACTATATGATGTTCTTAAACTGGCAAAGCCAATCTATGATGATAAAATCAGAGCACTGATAGCAGCTGGGACAGAAGGTAAAAAGGCTGGAATCTGAAAGCAAAGGGGCACAAAGAATATTTCTGAGATGATGGAAAATACAGATTATAAAAAGTCATCATATCATACACTTAAGAACTCAACGTGCATAAATTTACCTCAACGAAGTTGATTTTTAAGGAAAAAATAAATAAAAAATACCAAAGAAGTAGAGCTGTAACTTATATAAATGTAAATTTAGTCCAAATTTTTTAACAATTCTTCAAAACATACTTTCTATCATATACCTTCTTAAGACAATAGAAACCATAAACTATGGGCCAGGAAGTATGCTGGATGCTTTCACTTGCTATTACCTTGCAAAGGTCCTAAATGGTACCTTGAGAGACAGCAGTGTTACAGCTGATAAAGCAGTAACCCTGGAGCCAGAAGACCTGGGTTCAAATAATGACTATATGTTATCTATTAGACAGATATATGACCTAAAATATATATAATATGTGACCTAAAACAAGTTACTTTTTAAGTTTCTTCATTACCACAGGGTTGATGTGAAGATGAGGGAATATTATTTTAAAGTATCTGGTAAAGCACAACACAAATACAAGTCTTATCACCAACAGTAAGTGCTCAACAGACACCGATTAAAAGAAGAAATGAAAGAGATAAATAACAATATGGGCAGGGATATAAGCAGACAGGAAAAGACAGGTAAGAGCATGTTCCTACTCACACTTTTTTCTGTGGATGGGTAGGGTGGAGAGTAGAAGAGGGGCTTTCAGACATGTTCCCATAGTGAGCAGCACTGAGTAGGGTAGGGTTGGAATGAATGAATGAATACACTTTTGTTGTGACCTGGATCACAGCATTCTAGGCTAGCAATCCATTGTCTTGGCAGGGAGCATGAGTCACTGGTCTACCTAGGACTCCAAGGGGCTTCATCCAGGATCATAAGGGTTGCAGTGACTCATCTCTTATTGTGGACCTCTGAAATGCCAGTATAACAGATAAAGTGTTCCAATCCTCCTTATCCTTAGATTTTCATTTTGCTCTAAATGAGACAACCAGAGCAGACATCATACAAAAAGACTGGCAATGAGCAGAGCAACAGCTTCACGAATACCTAGCTGGCTGATTTTCAGTAGAGTTCCAAGGAACAATGCTAGGTCTGACAGTACTCAAAAAGTACCCGAGTATAAAAATCTAGAGGGTGACTACAAAAGAGGCCCAGATTGAAAACCTGAGAAGTCACGTATCTTCACCCAAACATGGAGCCACTGGTAAGGCACTTAGAAATTCAATACTGTACTCAATTAGGATATGTCATCTGACTGAGGTTTCAACGGAATGCTATGGGGGCAAACAGAGGAGGTAATGAACCAAGTGGTAGGGGAGGAAGCACTATTAGGGGAAACACTCTTGAAAAAACGTGACACCTCTGCTGAATCCAAAGACGTTAAGGAATTACTTGGGCAAAAGGCATTCCGGGCAGGAGGCACAGCACGTATAAAGACGTGAAAGGTCTGGATGGTGCCATCTGCAGGGCACAAGGAATTGCATACAGCTGGAGAATATGTTATGAAGGGAAAATGAGGAGACTATAGAGGCACAGGCAGGGTCTTAAGAAGGACCTTTTCTTAAAAGCAGCCTGAAAGAATTTATATTTTACCTTGAAGATGAAGGGAAGCCACTGAAGGATTTTTTTTTTTTTTTCAAGTGAGCAGGCCAGGTGCCCCTGGTGGTGACCCTGGCCCTCAGAAAGTGATGTGAGAGTGGAGGGGGGCAGTGTAGAATACAGTGTCTAGTGAAGGTCTGGTGTGTGTGTTGTTTCTCATTTGTATAAGTGAACTACATTTCCTTCACATCTTGCTGAAGAGAAGGCTGCTCCCTCCATCACCTCTTCTCCTCATATACCCTACACCTTCACATTGTCTTATGTTGTAAAAGAATCATTTGGTGGCAAGATTACATTAAACCCACTGGATTCTCAGGTGCCCTGCTGGCAAACATTAGCTCAAGTCTACAGGTGCACAAGTATCTTTCTTTGTCTCCGATAGGGTTCGGAGACAGCATAAGCCACGGAAGGATTTTAAGCAGGCAATACCAAAATCGAATTAACATTTTTAAGAGATCATTCTGGCAACAGTGTGGAACACAGATTGGAAGGGGACAAATGCGGAGACAAGGGCAAGTATTTAGGAGACTGGAGTGATCCATGTGGGGAATGGCAATGGCTGAAGACAGCAGAACGCAGGATGGAGTGAAGACGTATTAGACATGGTGAAGAGGCAGAGTTCTCAAGACTTGTCCACTGGTTTACGTAAAGATGAGGAAAAGAAGGAATCAAGCTGGACTCCCAGGATTCAAGCTTGGATGTATGAATGGACAGGCCTGCTGTTCATGGAGATGAAGAATAAGTTCAACCTGCGCTCGGAAGTATAAAAAGCAATGATACTGCACTACCATTTAAAAAGAAAAATTAACGCAAACAAAAGCACATGCTGCCTTAGACAGTATAGATATACATCTCTGGGAAAAATCAAACACTTAAATTCACAGAGAGGAATAAGTCAGAGTTAAAGAAATTCCTGTCTAACATATGTTGATGAATGAATAATCAAAGAATAACAAGAAGGCAATTCACTAACAAGAGAGCCATCTACTGCCTTCCAAGGATAGTGCAGCGATGAAATGCCACAAAAAAATGTGGAAGAAAGCCAAGTTTGTGACCACTTCACACTGTACATGTATTCACAAAATATCTGATCCCTCCCACAAAAATTTCCAAGCAGTTAGCACTTTTTAGCTAACAGCCAAATCTTTTCACTTACTTATTTCTCCTAAAAACATCAATTCAACATATATCATCCTTTGAATATATAACACTTACCTGCCATCATTGCTATCATACTGGCTTTATAGACATTAGTAAGAGATCCAAGTTCTCCTGTTGCTAAGATGGTTTTGAGATGAGCCTCCCCACAGGCCTTGCGAAACTGACGAATCTCATCATACAGGGCTGGGGAAGGAAATAATTGAGGCAGTTACAAAGCAGGCAAGTGATAACATAACTTGGCAGCCATTTGGAGCTGGTAGAACCCATCTCAGATTTAGGAAACATAAAACATTTGTCACTTACTAAAAATCACCCCAATTTAATATCGCCTAGAGCATTCTGTTGCCATTCACATCCTGTTACAAGAAATGCTTAGTTTGCTACCATGAAACTTTCTAAGCCCCTGCCCGAGGTCCAGAACCATGCCGCTTTTTAAATTATCATTATAATGACATGCAAATTACAAATAATTTCTACCTCTCCCATATGTTGGTTACTTACAAGAAAAAAAGACATTTATCCACCATACATATGGGGGTGTACCGCTCTGCAAACTGAGGAAACCTCAGGTCCTTATTAATTCTTCCATTCACACATAATAAGTTCTCCTGTTAGAATATAAAGCAGGCCTTTCCTGAGAGCTCTGCTAATGACAATGAAGACATAACAGCTTTCCCCACTCGCTGCCAGGACATGTATCTATATATCTGACTAAAAAGCACTGAGCCTAGCCAGGTATGCTGGACGTATGTGCACAGAGCCAGTTGTAGAGGGGCTCCCAGGTGCAGCCTTGAATCTATTAACCCCTGACCCCAGTACCACATCTGGCTTTTGAGGGCTCCACTTGATACCCTGAAAGCAGATTTTTGAAAAACATACATGTAAAAAAAAAAAAACTATCCTCATAGCAAAAAGAAAATCAAGGGGGAGAACATTTCATATTCAAAAAGAATTGACAGAATTTTAGTAAACAAAATCAGTATAATGAGTATTAAATTTTTGAAAAATTATTTAACATCATCTTCTGGCATGACACCAGTGGGTTTTGGCTCTTATCCTGTATCACGTTGGCTGCATTCATTCCTTGAACTTGGGCTATTACTACACGATCAGGACTACCAGCGCTTTTTTTGTTCCTCTGCGTGTGTGTGTTTCATAGGAAGTAGTTCTACGAGCGCACGGACTACACTGAGCAGGAAAGAAAAATTCGTACTAAGGTTAGGGTTAGGGGAAGTGGTTTTTAATGTGGAGATGAGACTTCCGTAATTCATTGGTTTACTAAAGTACATGTAAAAGACTAAAAATTGGTCACAAGTCACCAAACTCAGTCAAAATCGTGAAAGTTGTAACACAATGAAGAAAACTTGCCTTCCCGATCCTAGAAAATCTGAACTGAACTTGAAGCTCCAAGTGAAAAGTGAACACAAATAAAAGCAAAAATTCCATTACAGGATGCTTGGTAAATGTTAGACTTTGACCCCGTCAAAAGATGGCACCCACAGAAGGTTTTTCAAGAAAGGGCTAAATACTTTCACAAATCCCTAATAATCAGTGGTTTTGAGCATTAGAGACGATCTGAGATGCCACACCGCCTACCTCACCCTGCCCATCCTACCCAAATTGTGAGAAATCATCTCACCCACACATCCCATATGACAACATGTGTGAGAATGGCATAGACAACGACTACGTGGCAATAACAATTTATATTCTTTTAACTCGGGGAATGAATCTTGGATGAAATGACATTTCCTGAGTTACTGAATCTGAAAACAGGAAGTTGTTCTCTAAGAACTACTGACAAGGAAATCTCTTGATCTAAAAATTCAAGAATGCTACCCCAGAGTTAACTTGCGATTTAATTAATGACTTTTCTTCCACAGTGCAGCGTTGCCATCAAAAGCAGGCTGGAGAGTCAGACAAATGTGGATTTAAAACCCAACTGCATCTCTTCTTGCGTGATGTTGGGCAAGTAATTCTCAGCCTCGGTTCCATCCTTGAAGTGTCAATAATAATACTTACATTATAGGGTTATTATGAGGATTAAAAGGGAAGATATATACAAAGTACTCTGCACATTGTCTGGCTGATTGTAAGCACTCAAAAAGTGTAACCATTATTCTTAAGCTCAGAAACCTAGTGAAATGAGTTTTAATTAAGTGTTGTGTGATAAAAGCCAAATCTTATTCATGGCCTGACCCAACTCCTTGTACTGCACCAAAATCTTGTTATATGGATTAATGCTTAAAATCAGTGAGGCATCAGATAAGGCTTGAAATGTTTTATTACAAAATTTGTTAAAGTAAAGTTTGATCTGTACAACAAAATTCTTAAAACGTTGATCCCAATCATATTTAAGAACAAAACTATCAGCCTTTTTCTAGAGTATTACCTTTTGATATCCAGTCCATTTCTTTACCTACAGTTAAAATTAATCAGAAAAAAAAAAAAAAAAAAACCCATGTACTTTACGACTCAATTATCAGCCACCTGGAAGTTATTATGCCCTGTAATCCATGATCCAAACAGAATGAACCCAAAATAGTCATCAGCACATAACTGGATTTAAACAAATAAGTAACCAGTGCCTTCTCATTCTTTAACCACCAACTCCTCACTCCTCAAATCATTTAACTGACCTATCTCACCACATAACAGGGTCAAGTTTTTCTGAGAAAGTATCTTAATCTTTAGAGTTCAACTGAACTCTACTGAAGTTGCTTGTCATTTTTTTCTTCTGTTACTATTCTGCCCAGAGTAGTAATTCAACCAAAAAGCACACTGGACCTGTCCTTTGGAAAACGTGGCCTGGACTCCGAACAAGCAAATGCTTCTATCTGGGCCTCTGAATCTTACCGAGTTACGCAAAGATGACAGAGCATTCAAGATGTTCATTAGTATTACTACTGCGACATCCTCAATGGCAGCAGATCCAAGAGTCCCGTGGCCCCGTGGCCCCATGGCCCCGTGCCAGCAGCATGGTACCTGTGCTGGCCAGTGACGGCAGCATCAGAAGTGGCCCCGTAACCACACTTCCCACGGCACATCCAGCTGTATTCTCTGCTCCCCAGTCTTTCATGGACCTGCCTGTTTTCCAAGCCTGGTTCCCCAGGCTTCTTACTGACTCAGTGAGCTATTCCATGTCCTCCTAACAGATGCCTTTTCAGTTTAACCTAATCTGAACTGGTTTCATTAGTTTCCAACTCATAATTCTAGTATAACAAGTATTTACTGAGAAATCTGGTATGGTGTGGGACAATAGCATTGGTGCCACACTGCCTGGGGTTCATATTCTAGCTTCAACACGAATTTGTTGTGTGATTTGGGCGATTAACTCTTAAACTCTCAGTTTCCTCTTCCATAAAATGAGGATAATTGAGGTATGCACACCTCATGGAGTTAGTTCAAGTATCAAATAGACTAATATGTATAAAGTGTTAAGGATGGTGTCTGGGACAGGTATTAATGCTCAAAAACTGTCAGCTACTTGTTTCCCTGTTGCTGGCATTGGTGGTGGTGCTGTTGCTGTCGTTGCTGAGTGCTTATCAGGTTCAGACATACAGCAACTTATAAAGCAGAGGGCACCATGATCTATGTTTCTTAAAGAACATAAACACAACCTCTTTGGGGCATAGAAAGCAGGCTGGTGGGGAAATTTTTATTACTTCACGAACATTTTTTTTTAACTTGGAGCCCACGCTCCCAGACTCCTGGGATAAGAGTTCTATTACTTGCTGGTTACGTAAATTTACAGGAATCATTCAATTTTCCTAAGCTTGATCACTTAGGGAGCCTCAGGTTGCTCCCATATTTTTGTGAAGATGAGGTAAAACAGTATATATGTTTAGAATGGAATAAGGCAATTAGTAGGCGTTTAATCATCCAATACTAGATTTCCATATCTTTTCTTATGTACTTCCAGAAATGCAAAAGTAACTTTGAAAAACAAAACAAAGTAAGCACTGTCTTAGTAGTTATAGAATTTACAAATTTAACATATAAGGAAAACAGACCACTTCACTCCAACACAAACGACAGAAGCCACAAATAAGCATTATTAGTGTCCAGGTGTTCTAAGCACCTTGGCATCACAGTGGCAGATGACATATGCAAATCAGAGTAACATGATGGAGGGGCCTCTGGGTGGCTCAGTTGGTTAAGTGTCCAACTTCGGCTCAGGTCATGATCTCGCAGCTCATGGGTTCGAACCCCGTGTCGGGCTCTGTGCTGACAGCCCAGAGCCTGGAGCCTGCTTTGGATTCTGTGTCTCCCCCTCTCTCTGCCTCTCCCCAACTTGTGCTCCATCTCTGTCTCTCTCAAAAATAAATAAACATTTAAAAAATTTTTTCTTTATAGTAACGTGATGGCTGAAGTGTAACTGTCAATCCCAAATCATAATGTCGTTCAACATACTCAACGGTCACTTACCTTTCAGTATAAATGAGCAAAACAATGGAGAAACTAATGGGTGGATTTTCCTCCACATTAGCAGGAAAGGACAGCAGGATGTGGATTTATATGATTGCTAGTGGAATACACATGTGAAGGAAGAAATCACAGTGGAATTAACAAGTTCAATAGATCCTCTTTCCAAAAAAAACTCTTCAGGAGGAGTAGCTACTCAAAAGAATGAGAAACCCCATAAGTTTTCAAAGCATCTTCCTGCAAAAATGCTCAGTGTTTTCTACACATCATTTAAACATCCCTGTGGGGTAGCTGGTAGTTAGCTTCACATTTCATATACGAAAAGTGAAATGTAGAGAGATGAATGAGTTGCCTAAAATTTCCTCACACTTTGCTGCCTTTATCCCCCCACATGCATACACACAGGCAGCTACATGCATGCTGTCCTTACAATACGTTCTCAAGGACATGAACTGAAGAACTTAGCACAATATAGTAATCAAAACCTAGAACCTAAAGGGATGTCAACTCTCATTTAGTTCAAATTACTAACATTATAGATGAACATTATAAACCCAGAAGCTGATTTTCATTTTTCTAGGGAAAACAAAGTTGAGGAAACTGAAAAGTTCTAGGATAATTCAGAAACATAAAACAGTTAATTCTGTATGATTTAATATGCTAAAAAGACCTATAACTTGCTCTATAAGCCTTCTGGTTAAGATCAGAACAGCACATTCTGACATTATGTCGTAGAGAAGTTCATGTGTCTGAATCCG